TTGGAGAATGTGTGGTTAAAAAGTGGAAAATTTGTTTGAATTTACATTCACAATATTTTATTTATAAATGTGAATAAAAATGTGAATGAAAAATAAATTATTTTTTTTAAATAGAGTCAAATAGGGTCTTAGTTGCTGTTTACGTACAGTTCTGAATGAAGTGACTTAACAGATTTAAGTTTTGCAAACAATAATCTATTATAGGATTAAGTAAGAAAGAACACAGATATGGCGTAAAGAACTAATCCATTAATCAAGATGCAAAAATACAACAGTTTCGATTTAGTATTCGCAAAATTAACTAAAAAAATCAAAAGAAAATAAATAACAACTCCCTCCTTTTCTTATTCATTTTGACTTATTGGAGAAATGGAATCAAACCATTCGTTCTTGACTTTATCGCAATTTCACTATTGTATTCGGTAGCAACCACCATTTGGATAAAGATTCGCCAACCTTAACTTATGCCAAGTGGCCTGATTCTTGAACAGAATTATATCAGTCTTGCCAAGGTGTGTTTTTTGCTTTGTGATGCTGAACTAAATCATCTGCTCGTTAAAACTCGCTAGAATAGGTCAAAATACTTCAAAACGTCAAGCTGTAGGTTCACCGGGTGTGTGAAAATTTTCTCTCAAAACTTGTTTGATCCTTAATGTCCCTCTTTACTTATATAAAGGCTTCCACAAGGTCCTAACATCTTTTACCTGAAATAAAACGTTGTGCACAGTAAGAATCACACAAGATATGGTTGATATGGTCAATAGTTAATTTAAGGAAATATTTTCCAATATAATATTTCCTTCTTTTAATTATTTAACTAATCAACTTTGTCCAAAATAATAAGTAAATATTTCTGAATATGCTGCTTTTAAGGTAAGTGAGAATTGCACCTTTTTCGGCTTTAGAAACCCTAAAAAAATCGCAGCCGGACTTTTGCAAACCTATAGCACCCAGTTGGTCAACACTGACCGGCTTACTGTCTATGGACTTCACTATTGCACATATTTTTTGTTCGACCATGTTTCGACATTAAAAGTCAATCTAATTTAAGCAAGCCAATAAATAAAGATAAGTAAAAATATATCATATATTTTACTTACACTTAAAATTCAGGTTTCTGTGTAATTTTCTCTTATGTTTATTCTGTTCTTAGTTCTCATCAGTGTTTTAAAAATAGGAAATCGGCTTGAAATCTGGTCCGATCACATGTGTAAAATCAGATGAGAAACAACCGGTGTAAATTCTGGTAACCATCTAATTTAATCGAAGAATCGGTGATCCAGTTACGATTTTCACAGTTCATTAGGTCAACTGTTTTGAAAGAAACAATTATAAGTAGCTAGATAAATACAATAAATCTTAGTTGCTGTCATATCTCCGATCGTCCCTACTGTTTCTCCGGTCGTCCAAAACTCATAGTGAATCTAAAATATTATTGTAGTGAAGAAAAGAAGGTAGAAAGCACACTAATATTTGTGCATGTGAGAGAATGGAGATAAGAGAAGATGAGGCGCTACCGACAAGATTATAACCATCTACTACGTTCTTTTATCTAAAAAATGTTTAGATATAGGGTTTGCATATGGGCCAGGTTGTCATTAACAAGTTATAGAAGTTTTGGAACTTTTAGCCCGCTTAGTTTCCACTTATGTTCATTTGTTGAATTTCTTTTGTGTGTGTGTGTGTGTGTATTTTTAATTTAAAAATTAATGGATGGATTTCGGTTTGACTCTTGACCCCCATTTTTTTTCCAGATCGATATCCGATCCAATTTTTTAAAACATTGGTTTTTACTCTATTTTTGCATATTTCGTCATATTACATATATTGATAAAAAGGTAATGTTATGAACAATGCCCAAGTCATTGATTAATCACATTGTGATTGACGTATAAGCTTTATTACATGAACGCATTGATATATGAAAGTTACGGATTACCAAATTAAAGGCTACTAAGTTACTGAATGTTTATTAATTATCCGTTTTTAGTTTTGGCCCCTACGTATGGAATTATTCTATTAAAAGCAATATGTCACTTTTTAATAGTTTCTAAATGATTAAGCTTACACGTCCAATTTCCCTATGTTTGAATACCACAGTTTGTAATATGTAAAGCAATAAAGAACACAAATAATTGTTGACGAAGAAAACCCAAAGTGGGAAAAACTCTGGGATCAAGTCAGTTACCTCCAAAATAGACAATATGGATTACAGTTCGTTTCCAGCCTAGCAAATTCCACTAGTTCCGTTGTTGTAATTCCTGTAATCTCTACCCACCAGTTTCCCGATCTTTTACAATTGTCTGTGCCAAGTGGAATTCCAAGAATCTCTAATTCTTGGGCTTTTCCCTGTGCTTACAGTCAATCTCTCCCAATGACCGACCGAAAGAGTACTTTCCAAGTGGATTCACGAACTTTGATGTTTTCCTAAATCTTGGTTGCTAGATCTCAAGAATGATATGAATGATTCCACTAATGAATTGTGTTCTTGGAACTCTCAAAAGTGATAAGAATATGTTATACCATGAGGTACACTGACACAACCACCATTTTCGTACAAGAGTATATGTATTTATAGTTGGAGATGTATGAGTAGTATGAGCCGTGTAAAACTTTCCAAAATCCAGAACTATGGTTAGCCGCGTAACATGTCTCTCGAGCGAGGGGGACTTGTCACTCGAGCGACGCCGAGCGAGAAGTGAGCAACAATGGTTTTGTTTCTGTCGCTCGAGCGATGGTCATGTGTGAGGCTAGCGAAATTTCGGCGTCGCTTCTTCCTTGTTTCCAAACTCGAACTCAAACCCTAGGCTACCTAACTCAACTATACAAAATTGCACTTCACTCCTTGATTTTTACACATGTTCAATTAAGTTCTTTTTGTTTACAGAATTACCAATTACAATATTGAACCTAACAATATAATTTTCATTTTTCTTTATGTATATACAATATTATTTTGCTACTTGGAAGTTCTTATTTTTTAATATTTTATGGGAAAATGCATTAAAAAATTAGAAATTTTTCCACTTTTCGTCCCCAATCTTTTCGAAATTCCTCAACATTTTTAACACTCGACACCCCAAGTTCACTTAATTGCAAATCATGTCCGTACTCCATTTTTTTAGTAAAAAACTGAGTAAAATAATGAATCTGTCATCCCCTTTAAATAAAGAAAACAAAACAACTAAATAAGAAATTGAAGGGAAAATTGTAGTAATACTTCCAAATCTTTAAAAATTACAAATGGATCATATTCTTTCCCAAAGGGTGGTGATATGGATGAAAATGAACAGAGCACTCGAAATCTATTAAGACAATTCTTTTAAAAAAAATTTGAGTCTTGGTGGTAGTGGGTGGTTGGAGTGGAAGCGACTAACTTGAGGTTTGGACGGAATTGTGGGGTTGATTTTTTTGATAATATGTCGTTAAAAAGTGGGAAAAAATGTCAAATTTACGTTCAAAATATTTTATTTGTAAATGTGTGATTGAAAATAAGTATGAAAATAAATCATTTTGTTTTAAATGGAGTCAACTAGGGTCTTAGTTGCTTTTTGTGTTTATTTAAAGAGAGGGCAAATTCTTCATTTTACGCGACTTTAATGGTCAAAATGGACAAAAAGATGGATTTTGTTATATTTTCAAAAAATTATTAATGTCTATTGCTTAAAAAGGTTGAAGGTAGATTAGTATCAATTTGCAAATGTTAGGGACGAAAAGTATAAATTTCCCTAAAAAGTCTCCTATAAATGCTCTTAGAGGTCCTTGATGTTTGCTTCGTGTAGTACTTATGTCCCCAACTTTTACTTGTCACGTCCTCATCTTCGATGTTCCATTAATTCATATATCTAGTCTGATGATGGTTTACATCCAAATAGTTGATGTCAGAGCAAATATGTAGTCTCATCTTTTTATTAGTTTTATTTTCTCCTAATTAACAATGTAATGGGCAAGTAAGTTATTTTGTGCAGTCATAACCATCTTTTTTGAACGGGTACAATCACATATAAGATGTGCTAATTAATGAAATGATGATGATATAAATGTGATTGGGAAAAAAAAAAATTGTTACATATGTATGACAAATATGGTGGAGAATGTGTGGTTAAAAAAGAAGGAATTTTTTTTATTTACGTGTAATATTATTTTAATGAAAAATGTGTGGTTAAAAAAATAGGAATCAGACAAGACCTAAAAATATTCAATGCATATGGTAGAAAAATAAAACAACGTGAAACCACTATGGAAATATGAATAACCCATTTTAGCATAATTCATTTAGCCCATTACTTAAAATCTGATTTTTAGTACATTTTGATGAAAATTGATAAAATATATAGTTAAAAAGTTGTGAATTCCATAAAATATGTGTTTAAAATTTTTTTTTATTTTGACTTAAATTAAAATTTAGACTTTAATCTCTAACAAACAGGCACTTAATATAAATGTTGGATATATTTGGCGTGTACCAGTGGATAATCAATTAAACTACTTATACATTTTTGTTGACATTTTTATTACATCCTTTTATATGCGAAAAATCTAATCAATGATGTGAAAGAATGTTGTTAAAATCAATAACAATGATAAATTTCATATAAAAAATATCGAACTTAATATAAAAATTAACACACATAAGGAACAATCCCTTCCTCCCGCCACTCAATTAGAAACTTCCCCCATGTACAGAAACACTTCCACATAAATGGGCCTGAATACTCACAATGGAGTCGATCCCACCGTGTATTTAAAAAGATTCCGCAGGACTCACATATGTGAGTATTCTGGTCCATTTCTGTTGGTTTTGCTTCTGTTCAACTCAATTATTAGATTTCCTGTGGAATGATGAAGGACAATTATGGAATGAAATGCATGTTAGATTGTACCGACATAATCAACGTAAAAGCACAAGCTTTCAGAAAAATATTGAAAATCTTGTGCACTGCACCTCTAAATCTGTAGTCCATGGCTGAGCAGGGTAAATTGCATATTCTCACGTTCCCATGGCAGGCCTTCGGTCACTTGATTCCATACCTAGAGCTCGCCAAGCTCATAGCCCAGAAGGCCACAGAGTCTCCTTTGTTTCGACTCACAGAAACATTGAGCGTCTTCCCAAACCGCCTCCGAATTTAACCCATCTAATAGAATTTGTCAAGATTCAATTGCCAAAAGGTGATAATCTATCTGAAGATGCAGAATCCACCATTGATTTACCATTCGAAATGGTCCGCTACCTTAAAATTGCCTTTGACGAGCTTCAACCAAGAATCATTTGTTTGTTGGAAGATTCCTCACCTGACGGGGTTATTGGTGATTTTGCTCAATACTGGTTATACCCAGAAGCTGCTAAGCACAACATTCCGTGTGCATTTTTCAGTATATTTACTGCAACTATTTTAAGCGCTACTGGCCCAACATCACTTATATTGCAAAATCACGATGATCGGGTGAAGCCTGAAGATTTCACCGTGAAACCCAAGTGGGTACCCTTCGAAACATCTGTTTCTATGCGCTTCTTTCAAATTAATCGCCAGTTTAAGGAGGTAATAATAGACGGTGGTAATGTTTCGGACATGTACCGATTGGTAGCCACCTTGACGGCTGTGATGTGGGGGTGATGAGAAGTTGTTATGAGTTTGAGCCTGAGTGGCTACAACTTCTAGAGAATATTTACCAAAAACCAATTATTCCTGTCGGTCATTTACCCCCAACAACTACTAATGGCGATTCTGAAGAGCAAAACGAAAACTGGATTGAAATTAAGGAATGGCTTGACACGAAAGAAAAAGGATCGGTTGTGTATGTAGCTTTCGGAAGTGAAACGAAACCAAATCAAGATGAACTCATTGAAATTGCATTAGGCTTGGAGAAGT